CTTCTCTTGTCTTCACACATGATACAGAGCCCTGAATAGGCCCATTCATTCTCACGGCATCAACTTTATCTATATGCAGAACATTCTCAAATCTAAAGCCCAGTTCTTGCACTTGAAGTTCCGTCCATACTTGTCAACTCCCCTACTGTCCTCCATCTGCCCACAGAATCATGTCTCGTCCGGTGTTCTGCATCCCTGTGACTTGGGGCACTATCCCTTTACTTTCCCAAGTCAGAGACCATGGTGATATCCATACTCCTCCTTCGTCTTGTGTCTCCTTTTCTAATCATTTTTCCTTCCCAGTCTTTTAACTCTGCAGTATCTTCAGACTGACCATAAAAGCAATAGATTTGTGAACGATTCTATTCAACCAATAATCTTAGACTTACCCATTATTGTGGAAACAATCATACTGTATTATAAATCTCTGTTTCCTTTGTCCCTTTCACTCAAAAGAGTGTAAACTCCTTAGCGATAGGAATATACTGTTCTATTCCCAGCTCCTCACACATGGCTTGGTGGTCAATGTGTTATAAAAAAGCATTTGCTGGAAGGACAAGAGGTTCTAGATAAAGGATCATGTTTAATGATTCAATTCTTTCAGTATCTCTGTGTTTCATAGTATTGAGTGTATAATGGCCACAAGTATCTATTGAGGCAATATTTTAAAGCTTTATTTTGATATAGGAAATAGACTAGGTGTTACAGATTTGGGTTTAAAGCATACTATTTGAATATAGTCTATTAGTGTAAGAAATTAATGTGATAAAATCCCACATCGAATTCTCAGATTACTACTACTTTTACTAAACCTTCCCTTTGTATGCACATATACCCTAAACATGAGCAGATGGAGAGTATATGGCTGCTGACAAATAGAACCGTATGTTTAGATCTTGGGAAGATTCCCTACGGAGGTCCTGGCCTTGCCAAGTAATGATTATTGGCAGTGCGTCAGAAATGTAAAGAATCTGAGAAATTCAAACTACAGCCTGGCCAAATTAATCTTACTATGCTGACGTCAGAGTTTTTAAATACTTGAATGGCAGTTGAGAAAAAAATTAACCTTGAGACAAAAGCATGACGCCTACACATTTTATTTTTCAATACATTTTTAGGTGAGTGGGCTTTAATTTTAGAGCTTGTTTAGGGTCGTAGATAAACAAAGCACGAAGTAGAGAGAGCCCACGTACCCTCCCCCTCCTTTTGCTTGCACCACCCGCTCACCTAGCCTGTACAGTTTGCTTCTTATTATCTTGCATCAGTGTGGTGTATGCGATGCGGTTGATGATCCAATATTGATACATTATTGTTAACCCAAGTTAACACTGGGGTCATTCTTTGTGTTGAATAATTCTATGCGTTCTGACAAATGCATGCCACGTACCCGGATTACAATGTAGGGAATAGTCTCACTGCCCTAAAAGTCTCCTGTGCCCCACTTGTTAATTCCTCCCCTGCCTCCTGCCAAATGCCTGGCAACCGCTGATCTTTTCATGGTCTCAAAAGTTTTGCCTTTCACAGAATGCCATACATTTGGGATCATACAGTAGATAGCCTTATGAAACTGGCTTCTTTCACTTAGCAATATGCATTAACACACTTTCAATGATGCTTCCAATGTACAAAGCATGAAGCTAAAAGCTGGAGAAATGGGAGTTCACCCATACCATGGGGTCAGGATCTAATAGGGCAGGCATATATGTAAATAAATAAAATACAATATAAGCACAGGAGTCTTACTAAAAATGCACAGAGGTAGCAGATAGGAAAAAAAAAACAACAAATTATCTATACATGGGGGCAAATGGACGGCAATTTAGTTAAGCTTTCCAGAGGAAATCATTTCTTAGCTGTGTTCTGAGAGACGGGCAAGCTTTTGCCAGAACAAAGGAGTCATCTCATCGAGTTTCTTTGTTTTTCTAATTTCAAGAAGCCATTTACACTAAATACAATTCATATATAACCACCCGAAAACCACCCCCCCCCCGTCATATATCCTTTATAAGATACAGGATTATATTGGTAACATAATCTGGGTATAGGACAAATAGAAGTGAGCACAATTTAAAAGAGCTCTTTCTCATATGGGAAAACAGGTTATTGGCCCAATCTGCTTGTACTTGACTTGTTTTTCTGTCAGTGATAATAAATTTGTGACCAACATGGCTGGAATTAAGGGTGTTGTCAGGGACTGTAAAAGAAAGTCATCCGTCACATACTGAGACTGAACATATGACCTTCAGTTCTCTGCCGGAATAAACTATCAAAATGGCTTTAATGGCTGTTCAACATAAATATATGCACATATATATACACTCTATGTCCAAGAATATTGTTGAGTTTTCCTTTAGGTTAATTTCTGTTCTGATAAAATAAGTACATTAAAATGATTCTAGATTATTTGAGGTTTTTTTTTTTTAATTTCCATACCCCCTTAATATTTAAACATTTTTTTAATGTTTATTTATTCTTGAGAGAGAGAGAGAGAGAGAGAGAGAGAGAGAGAAAGAGAGAGAGAGAGAATGAGCAGGGGAGGTGCAGAGAGAGAGGGAGACACAGAATTGGAAGCAGGCTCCAGGCTCTGAGCTGTCAGCACAGATCCCGACACGAGGCTCGAACTCACAAACTGTGAGATCATGACCTGAGCCGAATTGGGACGCTTAACCGACTGAACCACCCAGGCTGCCCTTCCCCCTTCATATTTTTAGGTGTCTGTAATTATAAATGTAAGTTGGATAAAAACACTCAATAAATATTTGTTACATGAAAGAATAAATACGAGGTTTATAATCCAAAGAATGAAAGATGTGAAACTAAATATCGTATTGAAGTATTTTCTTTAAAAAAAAACTTTTGATGTTTTCTCTAATCATATTCTGTAATTCATACTCTGTAATTCATACTCTGTAAATAAGACCATATAGTCTGGATTACTGCAAATAACCTTGCAAACTTGAAGGGGTCTTATCATCAACCTGTTGCCTTAGGTAATTGAAGTAATGACTCTTTGGGTTATTGGGCACAGTAATCTCAGAGAGAAATTTGCGGATGATGGGCATAGCTTTAATTGGCTATTTGCCTCCGTTCTTCTGATAGACTCAACCTTTAGTCATGCTGTAAATAAAAAGAAATACAGACTGGCTCAAGTCATTTCCTGTACTTAAAACATTTGGCCAAAATGAGTCCCAGGGTTGTTAAAACTGATGTGTTCAATTTTGGCAGCTCCTTTTGTCCTCAGGGTACATTGTAACATCTGCTCTTTCGTAGTCCGAATGCTAATCGTGAGACGCCTTGTTTTATCATGGTTATTTTCAATCGTTCAATACATGTTGAGAAAGAAAACTCATACAAGCCTCCTAGGGTGAATGATATCGTAAAATTATTTTGGTGGCCACGTTTGGGGACAAAAACCACATTTTTCTCTTCATTTAAATCCAAGACATATGAACCGAACACCTACAGAATAAAATTTCTAAAGACCTTCATGAAATGAAAACATGCATTTCCTTAATTGCGATATTGAAGATGGCTTGTGGTGACCTTGAAGAGTAGCAGAATATGTCACCCCAAAGTATGCCCCATTTGGCACAAGGATTATCTTGGGCTACAGGCAACTGAGAAAAGGAAGATATAAGAAAAACTGTGCCCTTTATTTGCCTAAAAGCAGGACACAGATTTGTTAAACTGTCCCCCTTCCCTCTCTACCAGGAAGAACAGAGGTTAATCACCTAAAACAACTCTAGACCCTATCAGCCCAGAGGCAGCACCAGAGAAATACACATGACTTTGCTACAACTAACCCTTATCTCACATTACTTTTCCATATATTTGCTTTTCCACGATTTTCTACCCCTAGAAGTTCAAAGGCTTTTTCTTTTGTCTTGCCACTTCTCTACAAAATTATTATTCTTTTGTTAAAATGCTATATAAACCTGTGCTAACTGCCCCTTTAAGTTACTCATCGCTGGGTGTTCCCAGGTGAATGTACAAGGCATGTGTTTATCGACTTCTTGTTCTTTTCTTAAATTGCCCTTGTCAGTCCAATTGACAGGGCCCCAGACGATAAACCTAAAATGGACGAGGGAAAAGAAATTTTTTTTCTTCCCCTACTCTCCTTAACTCCCACTGACATGCCTAGAGTAACAGTTCTTATGAAACTTCTTCCCAGACCTGGGCATTTCTCAGGATTTCTCGTTTGGAAAGATACGTCTCACAAGGCACAAGTGGAATGAGCTCTTGTGCAGCTTTCTGTATTTATAAAACTATAGCTCTTCTAGTTGCCACGAGCTATATGTTGAAGAGAAATTACAAACAATCCACTTGCTATGAAAAAGTCCTAGGGTTTAAGAATCAACTCCTCTCGGGGCGCCTGGGTGGCGCAGTCGGTTAAGCGTCCGACTTCAGCCAGGTCACGATCTCGCGGTCCGTGAGTTCGAGCCCCGGGTCGGGCTCCGGGCTGATGGCTCGGAGCCTGGAGCCTGTTTCCGATTCTGTGTCTCCCTCTCTCTCTGCCCCTCCCCCGTTCATGCTCTGTCTCTCTCTGTCCCAAAAATAAATAAACGTTGGAAAAAAAATTAAAAAAAAAAAAAAGAATCAACTCCTCTCATACCCTAGGAAACAAGTAGGCATTCTATAACCCAAACATCCCACAGTCCTGGAATGTGCACCCATGTGTGTATGTGTGTGTGCTATATGAATTGAACTTCACAGAAGTAAGATTTTGGATGCATAGCTTGCTACAGTATCGTATATATTAAACGGTTGCACAACTTTTTAAATAAATTTCATTTTTTTCATACAGTTTTAGATTTATAGAAAGATGGTGATAGCACAGAGTTTCCCTATTCCTTGCACTCAGTTTCCCCTACTTAACATCTTACAGTAGTATGGTACATTTGTTATAGCCAATGTGCCCACATTGTCCCCAGTTATTAATAAAGTCTCTATGTTATGCAGATTGTCTTGGTTTTTAACCGAATTCCCCTTTTCTGTTCCAGGATCCCATCCAAGATATTACATCACATTTATTTTTTTTTTTTCAACGTTTATTTATTTATTTTTGGGACAGAGAGAGACAGGCATGAACGGGGGAGGGGCAGCGAGAGAGGGAGACACAGAATCGGAAACAGGCTCCAGGCTCCGAGCCATCAGCCCAGAGCCTGACGTGGGGCTGGAACTCACGGACCGCGAGATCGTGACCTGGCTGAAGTCGGCCGCTTAACCGACTGCGCCACCCAGGCGCCCCTATTACATCACATTTAATTGTCATGTCTCTTTAGGCGTCTCGGGACTATGATAGTTTCTCAGAATTTCCTTGTTTATGAAGACTCTGAGAGCTTTGAAGAGTACTGGTCAGGTGTTTTGCATATTTTTTTCCATTGATCACTCTGAAAAAATTACTTAGGCCACAGCCAACAGGGAAATTTCCCTTTACCTACATTTAGGGAAGCAAAGTAGTGGTACTAATTTCCTAAAGGTGAGCTCAATGTCTCCATTGCCAGATCTAATCAGCAAAAAGCTTCCTTGGCATAAAAAAACTAGATATTTTCCCAGGATTCCTGCTGTATGAAACAATATCCTCACATTTGAGGGGGCCTTCTTTTTAAAATACGTTTTTGTGCAAATGTCTGTAAACTAAGATGATGATCTAAGTGATTCCTGAGACAATAATGAGCATTTCTGTTGGTAGCATTCAGGTGTTATCAGATGCTATTTTGAAGCTAAAGCATGGATGTTCTGGGGTCCTCTCATCTGATCAAAACACTGCATTATAACCAGAACCAGGAAATGTAGCCTGGGTCTATATGTGTGTGTAATTGTGTGTGTGTGTGTGTGTGTGTGTGTGTGTGTGTGTGTATTTCGAGTAGAGTACTTATAGTCATTCAAAAAATAGTTATTGACCCCTAATTCTGTGTCAGGCATGGGGCTATTAACCAGCCTCTCTGCTCTCTATTCTGTGACTGAATTCCCCCGATAAAACTTTGAAGATCACATCTTGAAGAAACCAAATTAAACTGACTTTACATTATGAACAAGTTAGAGCAGAAGTAACTTTTAAAACTGTAACTGAGGGGCGCCTGGGTGGCGCAGTCGGTTAAGCGTCCGACTTCAGCCAGGTCACGATCTCGCGGTCCATGAGTTCGAGCCCCGCGTCAGGCTCTGGGCTGATGGCTCGGAGCCTGGAGCCTGTTTCCGATTCTGTGCCTCCCTTTCTCTCTGCCCCTCCCCCGTTCATACTCTGTCTCTCTCTGTCCCAAAAATAAATAAATGTTGAAAAAAAAAACAAAAAAAAAAAACTGTAACTGAAAGAAGCAACTCTTGTAGAAACCTAGCTTCGTCCCCAGATTATGACTTAACATATGTAAATGCAATGCCTTGTGATCACAAATGTAAATCATTAAATCGGGAACAAAGACTGCGCATTACTTGGGGTTACTCCTTTTTCTTTCTTATTTCTGGGGTTACTCCTTTTTCTTTCTTATTTCCAAGTCATGTGTTTTTCAAATATTTTGTTGAGCAAGATTTTTTAATTTTTGTAAGTTAGCCAATATTTTTACTTCCGTCATTTTGGCAAGTAGATATCCCATACAATCGACAAACACTGTATACTAACAAAAAGACAAAATGGAAGAATTCATTTCCTGCGTACAAGATTTTTGTTAAAAAATATTACTCTCACTATGCCACTTAGTTTCAATTATTTTGTAAATTCCAAAAATTAATTTATTCACTTTTTATCATGACTTTTGATAGATCTAAAAATCAGTTATGGCAGTAGAGCATTAGAAATATCATACTCAATAAGAGATGATACCCATCACGAGTGCATGGAAAGTAAACAGGAAACTTTGCTGTTTTCTTGGGTTTCTTTTTTCCAGTGTTTAAAAGCATCATGTGCCGCGCTGAGGCCAATTATTCGCACGTGTCTTGGAAAGGATATAATTTAAATATACAATATCAACATAAAATAAAGAAAACGTTAGCTTTTGATTTTGGAAATATTTTAAAATTAAAATGAAGTCATTTCTGCAGAGGTGCAACAGTTTTGTTTTTGTGTTTTCCTAAATTAGGAATGTTGTGGCATTTTGGGCGGCATGAATCTTCAATTAGATCCTGCTTATTTTGAAGTGTGTTTGTAAAGGTACAGAATCATCATTAATGAGTCAGCATCTTAAATACAAGATTATAAATTAAGAGTGGAATTGTGTGTATGGAAAGGGAAAGCTCCAGGCCTCCTCTGCTTACCATTCATGTGATATATTTTCTTCTTATGGGAAAAGGGAATTAAAAAAAAATTATATAGAGAGATATATGTACATATATCGACATATATATATATATATATATATATATATATATATCTGATGAGGGACCATAGGGCAAACTGAGGGCCAAACACAAACTAGCATTACCTTCAGCCACTCCACCCCAAAATCCCACCCAGCCCACCAAGTGGAATGTGTGTGATATCCCTCAGGCACTCCTGGCTCCCCAAGGACAAAGGAAAGGAAAGAAAACAAATGGTTAACTGATAGAGATCACAGTCCTGTAGGATATCTTAGTAAATTACAAGAAAAAGGCAATCTTATCAATAGCCTAATCTTCAGAAACCTATAGGCTGTTTCCTGGAGCCCCTAGTATCACCGTCCCCTCCAGAGTGATGTGGGGAACAGAGGCAAGAAGAAAATGGCAGGTAGAATTAAATTTCCTTATAACGGCAGGCCATTGACAAATACTTGAGGCAAATGCAGAGTATAACATTTCTCAGGGAACCCCCTAGGGTCCTACTGTTAATGCCTTACTAGAGGGAAAACAACCTTAGCCTGACAATCGCAAGGCTTCCGGTTTCTTAGGAGTCCTCTTTTGTATATCAAAGCCCCATCGGAGACTTCCCTTCTGTCTTTACCTCCCCCAACTCCATAGTATATAACCAGTCACCAGCCCAGCTCTTGCTGCCCAGGGGTCACCTTTTTGCACCAAAGACGTCTTCAAGAATTCTTTCCTGGCCGTCAGCTCCAAACCTCACGAACCCCATGATCACCCCCAAACCTCATCATATTTATATAAAAGTGAGACGCAATGTTACATTAGTTTCAGGTATACAACATAGTGAGTCACAACTCTCTTACATTCTGTCATGCTCACTGCAAGGGCAGCTACCGTCTGTCACCATACAACATTGTTACAAATACCTTTGGCTATAGCACTCCCCATGTTGTACCTTTCATTCCTGGGAAGAAGGAACACTGCTACGTTTATGTGCTCAGTGTTTAAGTAAACTATGCCAAACTTTTTATCATAACATCTATGCATATATGTGTTGAGGAAGGATACATACATTTGTAGATTCCTGTGGTTGAAGTTCTTTTGTTCAGAGACTATGCCAGTTCATTCTAATTCTCCCTCAAATACCTAGGAAGAAATTTGTACCACTTTTTAATGATTCACCTAAGACTTTACCCCATACAAAAGCTGATTGGATTAAGCCTTAAAGAGACTATGAGCAATTTCCTTTTCATCAAGTATACATTTGCCCCTCTTCCTCCTAAGAAAGTAGGAAAAGTTCAGAGCATTCATTTTTTTTTTTTTTTCTGGAAAGCCTAGAAATTCTCCAATGTCATTTCCCTTCAGGATGTCCCACCAAAGCCCTCAATATTATCCAGTCTTCAACCCGAGCGAGAAATGCCAGTTTAGGGCATACAACACTTCAGATACTTAAATTTTCCATTTCAAACAAGGCTGGAAGCGTTGTGGATAAAATGTAACCATTCATAGAGCACTGCATGTATAAATGTGTAGTAAGTGAATGAGCTTATAAAACCCATTGATCAGTTTCTTTCCATATCGTGAAAGCACTATCTCATTGAGATTATAAGAATGAAAGTATTGTCTAACGCAGATATGGGATCTTCCCCTAATATTGTGCAGCTCCCAGTAAGTAGTAGCTGTGTTTTTTGAGCTCAGAACCATGAACGAAAGGAAGGAAGGAAGGAAGGAAGGAAGGAAGGAAGGAAGGAAGGAAAGAAGGAAGGAAAGAAGGAAGGAAGGCAGGAAGGGAAGGAAAGAGGGAGGAAGGAAAGAAGACTGTCTAATTGATTTCTTCCTTTATTCTGGATCCAGTAAATCCATAAAATTATGGAAATTTTGACTTTGGCTCTAAATTATTAGGCAGAGTGTTTAATAGTAATAGCTTACTGTATTAGTTTGCTAGGGTTGCCATAGCAAAGTGTCACAAACTATGTGGCTTAAAACATTCAACATTTATTGTCTTATAGCTCTGGAGGTTAGGAGTCTGAAATTGAGTGGTCAGCAGGCCATGCTCCTTCTGAACCGTGAAGGTGAATCTTTCCTCGCCTCTTCCTAGCTTCCGGCACTTGGCTGACAATCTTTGGTGTTCCTTGACTTATAGCTACATAACTCCAGTCTCTGCTCTGGTGACCACATGGCATGCTCCCTGTGTGTCTCTGTCTTCTCATGGCCATCATCTTATTAGAACATCAATTACACAGGATTAGGAACCCACTCTGTTCTAGTACGACTTCATGTGAAGTTAATTCCATGTGCAGTGAATCTATTACTAAATAAGATCACATTTGGAGGTATAGACAGAAACTCGGCAGATCTTTTTTTCTTTTTCTTTTTCTTTTTTTTTTTTTTTTGTGGAGTGGGGGTGGAGACACAATTTAAACCATAACACTTAATCACTTATTTTTTTGTCAATTGTACCTTACATGGCCATGACTTCTTCTGAAGAGTGTAGTTACATTTACACTGGTAATAGTCATTCAGAAAATCTGAGCAGGCAATGTCTGGAGATACCAAGAAGAGAGGCTTTCCTATCCTTAAGCAGATTAGAATCCGGTCCAGGAAACAGACCATTTACAGCTGGTGATAATTTCTATCATAGCAAAGTTCTGTGAGAGCCATTGATGAAGTAACAAATTTTTCTTGGTTTGAAATGATTTTTATGTTCTTTATGTTTTAATGTTTTGTAAGTTTTTTACAATGAGCATTTATAAGTTCAAGAAGA